AGTCTGTTGGAAATGTGCCCTAAAGCCAATCATATGATGATACTTTACAGACATTTCAATGTTAAACTAATCTAGTTTAATATAAAGGGCAAAGATTATTATTTAAAGTTGTCTCATATAAATGTTATATGCTTAAACAATAAGTCCAAGGAATATGTAATTAGGAGAATGTGATCTAAAGATGTTAGATTCATGAGACCATTCTCTTTCATATACATATCCTAAACGTTCCTGGTCATAAGATTGCCAATTGGGCATTGACAGTCCATTAAGATCAGTATGTGCTATGTCTTCTCTTAGAGAGAGTGACTAGTCTCGAGTTATTGGTGAGACTGACACCAAGACAAGCATGTAGGTGCTTAATAGAGAATGAGTCCACTAAACGCGATTAACAAGGAGTTCTCATACTCATGTCACATGAAAACTCATGGTTGGGATAATGCAAAGTAGTCATTTGACTTGAGGCATCATAGTTGTCTTATGGTTAGGTCCTTGATCATTGACTATGTCAAAGGGTGTCCATGGCATAGTTGGAGTTAAGCCACTTTGCCATGGAAGCAAGTAAATGCACAAAAAGAGATCTCTAACTTTCAAACCGTTTGAGGGAGAATACTTTATGATATGATTAAGAATCTCTGGCCAGAGTATGAATGAGATTTAGGAATTCGTTCCAAATGACATTCAAGGTAATCATATAAGTAAGAGAATCATATAAGTAAGAGAATCACATTGGATAGTAGACATAAATAAACTATCAAACCAAACAATGTGGTCAAGAGTACTATATTAAAGAAATACCGTATTGCATTGTAATCCCAAACTAAATAGGTTATCCAGCTCTTCGGATTAGCTTGGGTAGTCATGACATACTGCTAAGTGTCACTCATGGTTTGTGGAAGCCCTAAAGGTGTATAATCATTAAAGGAAGAGTTGAAAAGTAAGTTTCAATTCAAAATCGATTTAAAGAGTTCTAATCACCCACTGCCTCACTAGAAGGAACCTAATGGATCGTGCACCGTGTAAGGTAGAGATTGAAGAAACAATAGAGATGAGTAAGGATAATTAAATGGTTTAATTATTTCTGGCTAGGATTAATTAATATGTTAATTAATCAAATAAATAAGTTCATTTTAGACCTCGGGTTTGTTTTGGGCCTCAAGGCCCTATGGGCTTCAAATGTCAAGTCCAATAACTCAAGTTGTATGACAACTTGAAAACACAAAGGGCATGAAAGCAAAAATGAACCCACATGGCCGGCCATAGAGATTGTGAGGGAGAATTGGTTTTAATTTCAATTATGCCACTCAACGTAAGTGACTATAGAAAGGAAATTATAACTCATTCCCTCATGAGGGTTTTCTAGAGAGAAAAGAGAAAAACACAAAAAGCTCTCTCTTCTCTTAGGAGGCCAGCCACCCTAGGAAGAATAGACTAGCATCCATCTCTTCCTAGGTCACTCATCTCTTCCTCAATGCTCTCCTTGGTGTGGAAACTTAGAGGTTCCCTTTCTTGGGAACTTGGAGAATCCATTCCTTCATCCATATCTAAGAAGTCATGGAGCCAAGAAGCACAGTTCCTCCATCCACATCCATGGAGCCAAGGAGCAAAGAGACTAAGGAAAGAAGACCCTCACATGGGTGAATATCCTTTGCTAAGCAAAGAGGTGCTTCAAAGGTATAAAAGTTTCTCAACTCTTTTCTTTAAGATTTGAGTTGAGTCTTGGTTCACCACAACTACTAGGCCTTGAATTTCATGGGTAAAGTTTTGTTTTTTAGTGCATACAAGCATGATTCTGCTTTTAATTGTTAATTGCATGCATAGATGTTGCTCAAATGAACTTGTTTTCACAAATTATTCCTTCAAAGTCAAATCAGAAGGGCATGATATCACTAACTAAATAATTGACATAATCTGCATACCAAGGAGTGACTGAAGATTTAACGTTAAAGAGCTGCTCATCAGGGAATGTTTCAGAAATAGGAACTAAATCATTGTCACCTTCATGATCCACAATTCAAGAAAGATGATCAACCACCACATTTTCAGACCCTTTTTTTTCATCTCGTAGCTCTAAATCAAACTTTTGTAACAACAACACCCATCTAATCGACCGAGGCTTTGTATCTTTCTTGGATAATAAATACTTCAAAGCTAAATGATCAATGTAGACAATTATATCTAAACCAGTGAGATAAAAACAATATTTTTCTAAAGCAAAACAATTGCTAATAGCTCTTTCTCGGTTGTGGCATAATTTAATTGTGCGTCATTGAGAGTTCAACTAGTGTAATAAATCACATGTAGTAGTTTGTCTCTCTGCTGACCCAAAACCGCTCCAATAGCATAGTCACTTGCGCCACACATAATCTCAAAAGGTAATTCCCAATCTGGTGCAACTATCACAGAGGCTGTTGTGAGCTTCACTTTCAACATATTGAATGCCTCAAGACATGATGAATTGAATACAAATTATGCATGTTTAAGGAGAAAGTTACACAATTATTTTGTAATTTTTAAGAAATCCTTAATAAAACAACGATAAAAACCAGCATGACTAAGGAAACTTCGAACTCCTTTGATGGAAGTGGGTGGCAGCAACTTCGAAATTATCTTAATTTTTGCCTTGTCTACCTCGATGCCTTTGATAGAAACTTTATGACCTAGAACAATCCCTTCATGCACCATAAAATGTTATTTTTCCCAATTTAAAACTAAATTGGTTTCTTCACATCTTTGCAAAACTAAGGCCAAATTATCTAAACAAGAATCAAACAATAAGCCAAAAACTGAGAAGTCATCCATGAATACCTCAATACAATGCTCCACCATGTCAGAAAAAGTACATGCACCTTTGAAAATTAGCAAGCGCATTACACAACCCAAAGTGCATATGCCTATACACAAAGTATTGAAAAGGCATGTGAATGTCATCTTTTCTTGGTCTTCCGGTGCAATTGGAATCAGATTATAACCAGAATACCCATCTACAAACAATAATAGGCATATCCAGCAAGTCTATCCAACATCAAATCAATAACGGAAAAGGAAAATGATCTTTTCGAGTCTCATTGCTCAATTTCCTATAGTCAGTGCATATTCTCCATCTCAACTCAAACCACTTCCTTCATATTTGGATTTAATCTACATTGATGCTCAACTGAAGGCTTGTAATTGTCTTCCAACAAGATTTGATGCATACACATGGACGAACTAATTCCTTTGATGTTAGCAATACACCACCCAATTGTCATTTTATGCTTTCTTGCACTCTCAATAATTTTTCTTCTTCAACTTCACTTAAATTTGCAGAAATTATAACAGTTAAAGTTTTAGAAGTTCACAATAAAGCATACCTTAAATGTGGCGATGATGCTTTTAGAGTAAGGGTAAGTGTGGCTATGATACTTGGCTGCAATTTTGAAGGTGCAGGTCTAAGGTCTTCAAACTTCATCCTTCTTCTCTTTGCAACCAATTAAAAGCATCTAAATAAAGAGAACATTCCGGTAAAATTTGAATTCCATCCTTTGAAGTTGCAGCATGAACTAGTGCAGCTTCCATAGGATCATTGGGCTTCTAAACTCTGAATTTTTTTGAAACCGCGGTATTAACTAGATTGACATGAAAACAATCTTCAGCTTCTCTTGGAAATTTTTTCAACCTTAAACACTTTCAATAGTGCTTCTTCTTCCCCAATTCTCAATGTCAAACCCCTTTGTTCCACATCAATCAAAGTTCTTGCCGTGATAACAAAAGGTTGACCCAAAATCAACTGAGTCTCAAAATCTTCTTCCATATCCAACACCAAGAAATCTGCTGGAAAAAATAGCTTGTCAACCTTCACTAATACATCTTTAATTATTCCCTCTGGATATGCAATTGATCTATCCGCCATCTGCAAAGAAATAGTAGTGGGTTTAATTTCACCTATTCCAATATTCTTAGCAACAGATAAAGGTAATAAATTAATACTATAACCCAAATCACATAATGCTTTTTCAAATAAATTAGCGCCAATAATGCATGGAATTTTGAACTCCCTCTATCTTTTTGCTTGAGCGGAAGCTTTCTTTGAAGGATTGCACTGCATTCTTCTGTCAACTGAATCATCTCATGATCGCTGAATTTTCTTTTCTTTGAGATGATGTCCTTCATGAATGTGGCATAGTTCGGCATTTGCCCTGAGCATCGGCAAATGGAATATTAATCTCCAATTTCTTAAACATCTCTAAGAATTTGAAATACTTCTCATCTAACTTATTCTTCTTGAGCCACTGAGGAAATGGAATAGGGGACGCATGTAGCTTCACGGTGTGGACAAAAGGCATAGGTAGTGGCATGACGACAATGGCAGATTTCGAAGAAGTGTCCAAGGTGGGTCATGTGGTGGCTGATGGGTGTAGGACAATTGACAATGGTTGTTGCTTTTCTACAGTTTCTTGGACCTCTTCCTCCTTAATATTTGGTCCCAAATCTGCTACAGTCTTCACTTGTTTTCCATTCCAAAGAGTTATTGCTTTTGCTTGCTCTTGGATAATTTCTCCATCCTTGATTCTAAGTACTGGAGTATGGATCATTACCGAGATGTCTGAACTTGTTTTCCATTCCGCTATAGTCTTCACCATGTTCGCTTGTTCTTGAATAATTCTGAAAAATCAACTCTATATGAACAAGCAATTCTAGAATGACCAGGAACTGCACATATGGAACAAGTCTCTTGAGCTGGTGCTCTCCCATTCATAGCAAGCAAAGTGTCTAGTTTACTACCAATCGCTTCGACTTGTGCCTTTGAAGCAAAATCATTAGAATTGTTAATCTCAAAAACTCTTGCATGCTTCCTTCTTGCTTTAGAATGTTGTGCTTCAAGTGCCAAAGTATCAAAAAGTGCTTGACATTCAGTTGGCATCTTATTCTTAATTGATTCCCCTCCATAGTTGTTTACCGCAGCTTTGCTTGAAACTGTTAATCCCTTATAAAATATCTGCATGAGAACTAGAGTAGGCAAACCATGGTGCGGACACTAAATTAACAAATTATTGAATCTTTCCCATGCCTCAGAAAAAGTTTCATCAGCCTATTAAGTGAACTACATGATATTATCTCTAAGTGTATTGGTCTTCTGAGTCGAAAAGAATTTCTCCAAAAATTTATTCTAAGTATCGTTCAACTCGTCAAGGTTCCAGGCTTTAAAGAATTCAACCATGTCTTCACTTTGTCTTTCATAGTGTATGGAAAGACCTTCATCCTAAGATGTTCCTTGATAACCCCTTCTGTCAATGCCATGTTTGACACCAAGTTGAAGATATCTCTAATATGTGCCAACGGATCTTTAATGCTTATGCCATGAAAAGAAGGCATCATATTAAAGTGTTTATTCTTCAATTCATAATTTCTTACAACTACAGGAAGAACTATGCTTGATTTTGATTGCAGAATGGTTGGAATATCAAGGTCTCCCATCGTTTCATTCTGAACTAACGCCATCTTATTCTCTTGCCAATTTTCTTTCTCACTACCTTTCTTTTGTTCCTTGTGGATTTCACGAAGTCTTTTCTCAATTTCCGGTTCAAACTCAAGTAGTACGCAATCTGACAAACGTGTACCAAGCATTCACCTTCAAGAAACAATGAAAAGAGTGACAATGAACCCCAAAAAAATATTAAACTAAATAAAAATGAAAAGTTAATAAAATAAAATAATAAGAAAAAAAAGAAAATTAAATTAAACTCGATATGAGGCCGCAGCGCCAAAAACTTGTTGGGATAATTGCAAGTGTACAATATCATCCAAGTAATATAGTGATAAGGAGAGTGTCATTCTAACAAAGATTGGATTAACCTAAATTTATTATTGTGATTAACTTCAAACTAAAATTAAATAAAGGAAGGATTATGATCACAAATTCAAATCTACAAAGAAACAAAACGCAATTAAAAATAACAATCGATCGAACACGAAGTAAATGTGAATGAATTATAAAAGATTAATGTGTGGAAGCACTAGGACATTAGGTTCCCTATTCTCAATCCCATCTAATCTTGTTATTCATATTAACATCAAATTATCCCTTGACTTTGTCAATATTCTATCAGAATATACTAACCGTGTTTCTAACTATCTACCTATGCTATGTCTAGCCATAAGATATAGATGCTCGGAACCCTTTACGCTCAATGGATAACTACACGAAACTACACAAACCATAACCAGTATGTCTACTCAACTATGAAATTGATGGTGATTGTTATGAGAAGTAATCTACTAAACTCAACCTGTTAGTCACAATTTAATTATTTGCACAAATAATGGCCAATTATTTGATAACAATATTGCACAATAACAATTACTCAACATGAAAAATAACTGAGATTAATATAAAATAACGAGAATTAAATGTTCATGATAAGAGTACACTCTAGCCCTAGCAAAATGATTTAGTTCATGATCGAACTAAAGAACAAACATGGATGAATTCGATGACATGGAAGACAACTTTGTGTTTGAGTGTGTGTATTCGCTAGGAAGTCTGCAGCCTCCCTCCTAATTGTAATTTTCTGTGGAGTTCTGAAATGTGATATGTATGTGTTGTGAAGATGCTAGAGAGTCCTCTTGCGGGGCTCGATTTCCTTTTTTATATGTGCCGTGCTTTTTCTTTAAAAGGAAAACATGGCTTGAAAACTTTGAGTTTTATAGAAAATGACAAAATAAAAGGTAAAGTGAATACTACCAGGATTGACTTTTTAGCGTAAAAATGTGGTTTTTAGTTAAAGTGAACAGTACCGAAAGCTTTTCGTTAAAGTTCCCTTACTTAAATCCCCCTTCTTTTCTTTACTAATCCACATGCTAATTGGAATCCCAAAAACCTTTCGTTTTGGGAAACATCAACAACACCACCATCTTCAATTGGGCTGACTTTAGAGATCCAAATCCATCTTGGATTGCTCCAGCCCATCACAACTCAGGGTCCACTTGGTGATTCTTTGTGCTTTTCCAATTCAAGACTCAAATTCTATGCTTTGTTCACAAATTATCTTTTCTACAAAAACTCACACAAGACACATTAAACTCGCCAATTTAATATAAAATCATTACTAAATAATAAGTAAAAGAGGTATAAAATATGTATATAATATCAACCTAACAACCATCGAAGTTTTCCGCACGTTGAACATCCTCCTAAACTTTTGGAGGTCAAGGTCAACCCCATACACTGATTAAGAAGCTCAAAACATGTAATGAGTCTGAAAAAGGCTGAGGCTATGTCTCCAATAGCCATATCGTAGATGAACAAGATTCCTTTCGAGAAATCAGACAGAGGAAATCTTAGACCTAAGTCCAAAAACCATGGATGGATTATGGTGCAAAGACGTTGGGGATCAGATTGAGTGGATCAACATGAACATTGTGCCCAAGCTTCCACCGAGCCCTGCATTAGTTCAGAAGATCCTGGTGGCTCTCAACAATGGCTTGGCCTTCTTCTTGGCTACAAAACCCTTGTTAGCAGAAGATTGTATGGTGAAACTTTTAGGCAATTTGAAGGTTTTGCTAGAAGGCACCATTGAAAACAATTAAAGGGATTGGGGAATTTTTGAATGAACAAGTGAAGAAAGTAGGACCTTTTTTCATTGAATGAATTAGGGATTTTTTAAAAGATGAAGAGAAAAGTCTGAGATTATATAAATGGGACGTAGCAGAGTCATTTAGCCATTGAATTGGAACGACTTCTCTTGGGATCAGTGAATTTGATGGTTAAAATCAGTGAAGAATATCAGAGGTAATTTCTTGTATTTTGTGCACACGCAATAAAGGAGAAACTCATCATTACAACCTTTATGACACGGCTCTCGAGGCAACACGTTTGGATCCGAAACTTTCGACTACTCCACAAAAACCGAATCATCATATGAAAACAGAAGGCTAAATAGTACATATTCCAGCTTACTCCTAAAGGCATGATCTTTTGATAACTGTCATCCTCCAGGGGAACAAGTCTTTCTTTAGATACACAGTTAGGGGCAGTTATGGGACCATAATTTTCCAAGGCTACAGTCAGGCTGATTAGAATGCAGTCACCTCAAAAGTTCAGTCATAGACTCAATAGCTCCTAGCAAAGTTGGATTAAAGGAGCAGTGGTGTCACCATTATCCTGTTCCATAGCAATGCGTAAAGTCCGAGTGACTTCGCTGAGATTAACCATGCTTGTTTTGCAAGACGCAGGGATCTGATTCAGCATGGAATCAGATAAATCCTCTATATGTCGTGGAGTTTCTACAATGAAGGAATTAGCGTGTGCCGAAAGTAATCACACTCCTAAAGAGGATGCAATATCTACTTCTAGATATCCTTTAGGATTCTCCCGGCTTACAACAAGGATTCTATCCTAAAAAGGTCTCTCTCCCAACTGTTACAAATACACTTGTCTAGGGTTCATCTCTAGTAGCGTATCAAAGCACTCTAATTCTCTTGTCCACTGCTTAAGTCTTATACTTGCTTACTAACTTAACCGTCGGAGAGACTTTGGCTGGCACACACACACACTTCCCTTCTGGTCTCAGGCTTACTCATGGTTGTGTTACAGGTTACTCAAATTTATACCTCCACCATCCACGGCAGTATGCAAATTTGGTTCCAACATTACCTATTTTGTTTCTTTAAAATTGTTCCCATAAGGCATTTTGATAATTTTTTTTAAGAGTAAATTACATAGAACTACCTGTTAAATGATAACGTGGCAAGAGCAGAGCCCACTCCTTTGCCAACTGGAATAAAAATTATTTATTTTTATTTAATAATTAAAATTAATTTTAAGAAACCTCTTTCTCTCTCAGTTCTTCCCAGATGCCGATCGTCTCCTTTAGACCTGACAATTTCTTACACGACACGAAAATACTGAGTTTTGGGTCAACATGATAACTAATCGGACCGTTATCAGGTCACACGATAAGAACCTGTTAATAATGGGTCCTTAACAGGCTTACACGAGAGTGACACACAGAAAACCTGTTTCGACACGATAAGAAAAAAGTTATTTTGATGATTTTAATTTTTTAAACTACTAAAAAACTTACTATAAAATACAATAGATATAGTGTATATTGTTTATTAATTATTATTGTATTATTATTTTATATAAATTTTCAAAATTTAAGTTTTATTTATTTATTTATTTTTATAGTACACTATAAGGAAATAGTGAGATTAAACAATTATAAAACACATTAAAAATAAAAATATCAAATAATTTAAAAATAACTAACAACTTTAAAAAATTGGCCTTGATAATTTATGTTCGTTGATCTTCTTCAATTCATCCGATCCAACGGCCGAAAATTAAAAAGGTGTGTGAGAAGTAGAATGAGGTGTGTGGATATCACACCCTAAAAAATTATAATAATTAATTTAAATGTGCGAAAAATGTGAAAAAAAATATGCAAATACTCGTAATAGCATCTTCTACGCTTTGGGATGTATCGTTTGAATGTTTAAAACCATACAAACCCTCATAAACAGTATTTTTAAGGGGGTTCAAAATAAATAAAAGTCACAATCATTAATGTATAAGTCTGAAAAATGTGAAAGCATATATAAACACTCGTGATTGCATCATCTACGCTTAGATGATGGTTACATGGTCGTTTAGATTTTTAAAACCCTCCCAATCTCATGAATAGTTTTTTTTATTTGAATGAAAAAATTAATAATAATTATTATAGAAGTGTGAAAAATCTAAAAAATATATATATACAATCACTCGTAATGACAAGCTTTACAATTTTCGTGAATGGGTCAACTCCAAAATCTGACACCATAGTCATAAACCTTAGATTTAAATTTAACCGTCCATTGTTGTTTATACTTTATTCTCTCATAAAATTTCATTTTTTAGATTTTCATTTTTGAAAAGTGATCTATTAGCAGATGTAGAAAAATGAACGGTTATGATCATTGATATGACATTCTGATATTTACAGTTAACTAAAATATGAGTTGATGTTATTTAGTTTCTAGACTTTAATAAACTTCAAGCTATATTTTCACTAATAGTAAAACTCTGAACGTAATATCAATGATCCAAATCGTTCATTACACACCCCGACCCGGAATGTCCAC